GAGTAGTTACAATGTAACCCACTAGAAAATACAAACTCCACTACTTGAAATAACCTCTGTGAAGGCAGGGATTTTTTGTCCATTTTGTGCACTCCAGTATCTTCTACATCTAGAACGATACCTGACAGTCCAACACCTATTTGCTGAGTAAATAAATGGACGAAGGAAGGAAGAACCTATCTATAGGTCACCCCTTCTCATTTCCTGGGATCCTTATATAATCCACGCTACACTCACTTGCTTTACAGGCTTTTACACACAAAGGCTTCTTTCAAACCCCCAAATTCCCAGCGGCCTGAAGCCCTCAGTTTTAAATCCATTCTGTTCAACTACTCCAGCAGTCAGGTTGTTGGGTGCAGGATGATTTCATTTGCATACTTCCCAGAGAAAGTCCTTACTCTGACCAGCAAAGTTTTCTTGGTATCAAAAGTTAGCCAGTGCTGCAAGAAGGGCACATGTGGAAGAACAATTCAGAGTCAATATCCAACTCAAACACAAAAGAACCCCCATGTGTGTAGCCAAAATCTTCCTAGTATTACCTAGCACATAATAGGATTTCAATGTGCATTTATTGAATTGGAGAGTAAACTAAGGAAATACAGTGTTAACCTAATATCTCTAAAGCATTTCTTAAGTTTTCATGTTTATCCTAGTGAGCAAGATAGCAAAATGTGGATTGGTCAATATAGTGCTATTAAGAAAACCTGCTGCTGCAAACACAACTGTGTTCAAACTATGCCGATGAATGGTTCTTGTCAGCCTGGTAGAAAAGTATAGGGTTCTAGTATCAGTTCTTAATGGGCTTATCAACAAGTTTACCTCCATTTTTGTTGAAGGTCCAGTTGGAGGTCCAATCAAGACCCTTCCAGGGTCTGGGCTACATAGAGGTGAACTAGAATCATAATGAGAGGGTGAAAATCAGAATTTGATGATCCTCCCAAATATTTGTTCCATTGACATCAATGCTTTTCTGGTTCATGTGATTATTAATACTATGGAATCTATACATACTTCTAAACTAATCTGTCATTGTCCACATTGTATGTTTCTCTCTCCTCTACATCTCTCAGAAATACTTGCCTTTCCTCCAGTGATAGAAAATGTAAACAATTCTGATTGTGAGCATGTTTTCCATATTATCAAGTCTACAATTTTGGCGGTACAACCTTCACCCACCTCTAGATCCACAGGAGAAAAAGGCTGACCTCTTTTCCTCTCAAAAGCTCACTAAACATACCAGGCAGTTCTTGTGCCCCTTTCTCACCCCTCTCCACTCTCCCATCTGAATCAACTTTTCTCCAACTTCTATTAATTAAAATTTCCAAATGATGTTAGGACGCATGAGCAAGGTAATTCAGAGAAGAAAGTAAGAATAGGACCTGGGACTCTAGTTACACACATTTTTAAATTAGATGTAATGTCAATTTCTAGTTTTATGTGGCTCATTTAAGAAATTCATACCACTAATGTCATACCATATAGCCACTAACGTCAGATGCCAAAACAAAGGTAATGTTTACCTAATATGGGTACCAAAATCATCTGTTTGATATAGGAAAATGTTGGTGACATTTTCCTTTCTCCAATTACTCATAGAATCAGAATTTTAAAGCTATTCATGTCATCCATTCCTTTCACAGATGATGAAACTGAGATCCAGAACCGTTATGTAACTAGCCCAAGGTAGGTTAGTAGCAATGTTGAAAGGCACTGCTAGCTATCTCCCAAACAACAAATTATGACCCTATAATGTACCGGTGCTCCTCCTTTCCTCCAAACTCCTCATTTCTTAATAGTGTCAGCTCATTAACTTCCCAGGGCACTAAATTTACATTAATTACAACAATGATAGATTTTAGAACTAGGAAAATCTCTAAAGAATAGTCAGCCTTCCTAATACTACAGACAAGGAAACTGAAAGCCAAAGAGGCCTGGAAGCTTGTTGGAGAACACACTGAAATTTAGCAACAGAGCCAGCAATGGAGCCCATATCTTCTGCTTACGACCTAGAACTCTTCAGTGTTCTACACAAAGGATCAGCTAAACACTGTCAATATTATCAGTCTAAGATTGTTTTCATCTAAAATATGCATTCATCACTAGAAGAAATCTACGTCTTTTAAGTGATACGTGAGTTCTGTCCTATGGCAGTACTGGGCTGGACAACCATTTGGCAGATCGTAGAAAGGAGTTTGAACAATGAATGGAGGTTTGGTTTCAATGACCTCTAAAGTCCTTCCACCTCTATGATTATTTGATTCTGGACTGCCCAGGAACTGGGCACCTCAGCTAATCAGGGCATTTCCAGAAGTGTTGTACAGTATTCTGTGAGGGTCCCTCTCCACCTGGTGGATTGGACTTTGCTGTTTCAGGCATTACTCTATATCTAATTTACATGCAATCAAATACTCTAGGCATAGAAAGAGTGTAAGGAAATGCAGTTCTGTCATTTCCAAAGACAGACTACACTGCTTAGCTTTCAAAATTGCCTTGCCTAAATGAGCATTCCATAACTAAGCCTCCAAATTCATCTTTCACAGTTTGTTCATGTACTGTCTACTATCAGTATTAATTATGCAGCATCTTCATGAGGAGAAATCAGATGTGGATGTGAGTTAGGAAAGGAAAGAAAAGGGTGCACTTCCCAAAGAAAGATTACTGTGATTCCCCCAAAAGTGCTGGAGCCCTTCCATGCACAGGCAGATTTTGGATGGCAGTCCCCAGCTGAGCTAGCCATGGGAAGGAGGAAGTTGACATGTTTGAGAAATGAAGAATACAACAACCAACAAGACTCTGGAGGCCAACACATTATTAACCCCGTCCTTTCTATGTAATTCCATTCCGAGTTGTAATTCAGCACAAATCTGTTGGTCTGCCTTCTTGAATGCCTAAATACTAAAATGTACTGATTTTAGACTTTTTTTTTGGAATAATGAGTCCAAGGGAAGAGATTTCTTTTTCATTTCAGAGAGAAAAAAATTATAATAAGGATTGAGTTCTGCAAGTTAAAGGAAGCTTACCAAATAGAATTGTCACATTGACTATTTTTACACGAATGGGATTACCAAAAATAAAAAAAGAAAACAAATTCAAAATATCTGATTACATGCATGGAAACCAGGTGTTGCATAGATTCCCGAAGAGCAAACTGATGCTCTACAACTCAGTGCCAAATACAAAACAACAAAAACAACCTTTCAAGGTATCACAAACATGACAGAGAGATCTGTGGAGACTCCGTGCCCAGATCTGGAAAGCTCTACTTTAAAGGGCTAGGGCATCTTCTCCCCTCACCTCCCCCTGGAGAGCTGAGACACTGAGGGGACATCAGGAAGACTGAGAAAAGCAGGTGTCCTACCTGCCTCCAGCCGCCTCCAGCAGCGGAGGACTGGCGCCTGAAGTCTGATCCACACACACCCTGCGCGTGGGTGTTTGGGGGAAGGTTCCTCCGGCCTCTGCAGCTCCCCGTTAGCCCGCCGGGCTGGGATGACCCCATCAGTCCCGTCTGACACCAGCATCAGCACAATGCAAGACAGAGCCCTTCCCCGCCCCTTTCTGAGGTGTCACCCCTTTTCTCCCACAGGGTATTTCTACAAGGAAAGCACAACTTGAGGGAAGGAGCCTGACTGGGCAAAGTCGAGTCTTCTGACTGGTACCCTCATGGGGAGTAGCGTCAAGAAAATACACACAGGCATCCAAGTCTGGCAGGTGTACAAAGACAGAGAAGGGCGAGAGGAGAGAAAAGAAGGGGGGAACGGGAAGCAAAGGCAGGGAAGAAGGAGACAGAGGCGGAGGAACGCGCAGACTTGAGGGAAAGGGAAGGAAGCGCAGGATGAGGACGGAGGAAGAGTGGGGAGAAAGAAGCGGGAGAGAGAGAGCAGGGAGGAACGGGAGGAGGGGAAAGAAGGGCAGCGGGAAGGCAGAGAGACCGCGCCGGGCGGGCGGCGGAGCGCGGGCCGCGGCGGGGAGGGGGCCGGGGCCGGCGCGCCCCTGGGAGGCGCGGGGCGCGCCCGCCGCTCACCTTTCAGGATGAGGGTGTCGATGTCCCGGTCGATGCCCAGGAAGTAGCACTTCCTCCAGAGGCCCGAGTAGGTGGCGAAGAGCGGCCGGCCGCACTCGGCGTCCAGCCCGCCGAGCCCGAGCAGCGAGCGCCAGGACTCGGGGTCGGCGCGCCCCGGGCCGCCCGGGAGCAGCCGGCGCCCCAGCGGGGGCGAGTCCCGCAGCGGCAGGTGCGACAGCGGCATCAGGCGGTTCTTCTGGTCCGGGGGGTCGGCGCCCGCGCGGCTGCGCTCGCAGCTCTCCTTGTGGCGCCGGGGGTCGGTCTCGTACCAGTGGTCGGTGAAGATGGCCGTGACGAGCAGCCCCAGGGAGCAGAGGCTGAGGCCGAGGCTGAGCGCCGTGACGAGCGCCCGCGGCTCCATGGCTCCCCGCCCGCCCGCCGCAGCCGCCGGTGGGCTCGCGCGCCGCCGCCAGACACAATGCACTTGGCCGCCGCTCCGCTCGCGCTCCCTCCCGCTCCCCACCTGCCCCCCCGCCTCCCTCCGCGGCCTCCGCGCCCTCGGCTCCCGGCCGCCCGCCCGGCCCCGCCGCCCGCCGCCCGCCGCCTCCCGGCCGGCTCCGAGCCCGCCCCGCGCCGCGCTCACTTGCCTGCCCTCCTCCCCGCCAGCCCCGCTCCGCGCCCCGCTCGCTCCCCTCGCCCCGCGCCCTGCCTCCGCGTCCCTCCGTCCGCCTTCTTTCCAGCGAGCCCTCTTCCCTTTTTAATCTCTCCTCACCGCCTTCCTCTTCCTCTCTCCCCTAACCCCATCCCTACTTTCCCCTGACTTTTCCTCAACTCTTCCTCTCGCTCTTCTCCCCACTTATTTTGTCCCTCTGCTTCCCGGCTCCTGCGCCTTTATATCCCTGCTCTGCTCCCAGCGCCTCTCTCCACCTACTCCTCTGCACACCCCTCGCGTCGTCTCCCTCCAACGACCTTAAAAGACATCCACCACCATCAGACTCACTCTTGTCACTTGTCCAAGTTGATTTTGATCAGTGTCCCGTTTTGTACCCAGGAGCAAATCCCATCCAGGCCGGGCTGCGTGGTAGCATTTAACTCTTCGGAATGTCGATCTGGAGCTGAAGACCCTTTGTCCTGCCGCCAGAAGGATGCAGCCCCTTGGACCCCTGCAGCTGTCCCTGCCGTCGCTCTCTTTCCCTCTCACTCGCCCCTGCAACCTCTAAGTGTTCTCTCTGCCCCAGCCCCTCTTCTGAAAGCAAACGCACCGAGTGTCACTGGAGCGATAGAGCGATGGCCAGAGATGTCCCCCAACTTCATTTCAGCCTGCACTGAGATGGACTTCCTTTTCCGTTGACTACCTCCATCTCTTCCAGATTAACGACCTCCTGGAGTTTCTGGAAGAGCCTAGGATCAATGAACCCTCGCTGTGGCACCTGCTTGGTGAGATGAGTATTGCCTTTGCATAAAGAAAGCCCCCAGTAATAAATCAAAGTAATGATATTCTCCTGTGCAAGTTTCTCTCCTGGGCTGGAAGGGTCACCAACAAAGCAGTGCTACACACTGGAGTCAACATCTGAGCCTGGTTCTGTTCTTCCAGGGCACTCAGCAGTCACGGGTGTGACTTCCAAGAATGGCAGGCAGATCCACATTTTCTAAAACGAGGAGATGTTAGGAGCCAGGGTACTAAGAGTTAATTGCTTATATGGTATATTGTCAGTACAGGGGTGCAATGCACTTGTGCCGCTTAATACCCTTGTGACCGTGTTAGAGACAGAAAACCATGCTGCATGAGCCCAGGGATGGAAATTCTTGTGTTCTTATGCTATGAAATATTAATGATCGAGAGATTATGAAGCATTCATTAGATACTAAATGTCATTACTCCATGATTTAATGGGACTTATTAATTAGTGTCCCACATCAATTGGTATTAATATGATTTATATACTTCCTCTGGAATGACATCTGTACAGGTGGTTTAAGACTCTTGCTGGGATTTATTTTCATTGCTGTTTGTACCCAGCATTTTCAGAGGGTATATGTCCAATGAAGATCTTGCACCTATTCTGAGCCTCATTTAAGCAAATTATATCAGATCCCCTGTGCCTATTTCTGCTGACCTGACAATGTGAATTATTGCCTGGATTTTCTCACAGCTTTGGCAAGATCTATGATGAGCTCTAGTCTAATTAAGGAAGACAAAGAATTATAATTTTAGTATATCTCTCACCTATAAGTTTTTCCTTACCAGGAAACGCTAAGCTCATCAAAGGAGTCTTATCTGGATTTGCACAAAAATGATGAGACTTAGAAGCTTTCTTTTATTTATACTCTATAATATGTGTGAAATCCTAGATCTTTATGGATACACAGAGAGAATACTTTTAATCGTGAGTCCACAGCTGACATCTGAAATTCACTCTTGTCATGTGTCCTTTTATTTTTAAAAAATGCCTCTTTAGATAAAGTTATTACAAACCTTCCAAGTCCCAGGGGTTGTCAAGCCTTTAGCAAGTGCTCAGTTCCTTTTCAAGTCCTCACCTGATGTACTACAAGAAATAAATATTCAGCAGCATTTCAGAGTCACCTAATCATCTTCACCCAATAATCCTGTCCCCAACTGGAGCTAGACAGAAAAAAAAAAACCTCTTTTTGAGGCACTTCTGTTTAACTTAAAAGAACATACTGTTCTGTCTCATTTTCCTAGCCAGAACTCTTTGATCATACTCTTCTTAGAAAATAGCATTATCCTTGAAGTTCATTTATGTCTATGTTTAAGACCGGTCTCAGCATATAATCCGAAGGTTACTATATGATGGATTGCCCTTGACAGTATTTCATAAAAAATGTCACACATTACAAATATGGGCCAGCAGCATGTAATGAGAGCGCTGCCTCTGCTGGTGCAGCATTAACGGCACCAGCAGGGATGTGACATATGATGTGTGCACAGGCTCTGCTACAGCAACTGCACATTGTTCCATCCGTGTTTCAAAAAATTCCTCTTTGGATTTTTCCAGCAATGAACTATCACCCACTAACCCCCATTCTGTTAAGGGAATAAGAAATACAAAGATGAATAAACGGTTCCCATCTTCAAGATGCCCCCAGTCTAGTGGCAAGAAACAGACATCTAGACAGAACGAGCGGCAAGTCTTGGAGTAGAAATAACAAAGTGTTGTGGGAACATGAACAATGAAGAGACTAAATGCCTTGGGGAGTCAGGCAGGCTATGTAGAGACAGTAACTTTTGAGTTAGTTCTTAAAGGATGAGTTAAACTTTGCCAGAGATATTGGCATTGCAGTTAGAATATACCTCTTTGATTTTGTGCCTACATTTGGAAGCTTCAGCATTTGGAGTCATGGTAAAATAAATACTTTTTCCTACATTTTAAAATTATAAAGTTAACATGTGCTAATGACTAGCTACAAGCTAGATACCTGCAGATGAATGGAAGCAAAAGTCTAACCCAGAATATAGACAGTGTATGAGGGCATTTAGCTTGGCACAGAGTCAAGATGATGGAAGATCAAATATCCACCCGGAACACAGGGCATGTCTTAGCTTTACCTGTGCTATGACCTCAATGTTTTCAAACTTTGCTCGTTCTTCACTTGTCTTAAATTTCCCTTTGCCATCCCCGGATCTGATATCCCCAGTGCATCCTTCAGAGAACAACAGTGTCCTAATGTGACAGGGATGGAGCCAGAGAATTTTCACCTGGGTGTGTTACTGTATTATCTGGCACACCGTGTTCAAAACCAAACACCCATAATTCCCAATGGTCCAGCTGTCCCTCTCAACTTCTCTTTTTCTGGTGTTGACAAGTCTCTCAAGTCATTCAGACTCAGTAGTTTAGAATTATCCACCACATTCACAGAGACATAGGGATTTTTCCTTTAAAATGTCTTTTATATTCACTCCTTCCTCTACATTTCTACCACGTGCTACTGCTGTGCACCCATCACCTCACATCTGCATCATTACTGCAGCTTCCTCCTTGGTCCCAGTGATTCCAGGATCAACCCTTCCTGCAGTTATTCTGGGTCCTGTTGCCAAATGCATCTTCCTCAAATGTTACTTTGATTATGTCATCTTTCAGCTCTCTTGTCTAGGTTAGAGAGAATTTTCCACTCTGCTACTTTAGAGTCCTTCTTTGTTATCGTGAGTATTCCCATCACATTTAAACATCACAACTGATGTGTTGGCCCTCTTTAAATATTTAGAAAACAAAGTCATTTTGTATCCTCCAAACATACTTACCATAATATCTAGATGTTTTATGATATTCATTGTATTTCTCCTTACAGTTATAAAGTTCTTTAAATAAATATTTTCTTAGAAAAAGGTCCATGTGCACACAGAGAGAGAGAGAGAAAGAGAGAGAGAGAGATCTTGAATTATCACAGAGCTATGGCAATGATTTATTGACATACCTATGCTAAGCTAACTATGCTAAGCTAACCACGCTAACCAGGAGTATTCTGAAAGACTTTCATCCTTTTGCCCCAGCCCCAAGACTAAAAGCTACATCCTTCCTCATTTCAAATGTGTGGATTACACAATTTAGACTATGCAGTTTAACCAAAAGCACACACTAGCATTCATAAATAGTGTGAAGTTTGTTTTTCTTGGTAATATCAGGTTTTTTTCAGCATTTAGTGTAAGGATATAGTCATTATATTGTTCATCTACAATGTGTCATCTCTGCATATTAGTGAGGTATCTTATGTTAATGTCATCACTCTAAATTGTTCTCCTAAAACAATTTTGTCTTAATTCAACAACATATGTTGAGCACCTCTGATGTAAGCTCTTATGTTAGGTCCCACTGGTTTATGTAAAGATGAACGCAACATGGCCCATGACCTCAGGGTGCTTTAGGTTAGTGAGGGGAAGAAGATAGAAATTAACAGCTGGAAAGAGAGACAGCCTGGGATGAGTGCTGAAACAGAAGTACAAACACTGTGCAATGGGAAAGCCTCGTACAGAGGGATTCATTTCTCCATGGGGAAGAACATGGGTGAGCCAAGTGGAATAGATGCTATCTCAGCTAGGCCTTGGAGGAAAAGGAGTATTTTCTGTATGTGTGTCAACTCAGTCCAGGGCAAAGCCAGAAGTAAATCTTAGAAGCAGCACCTACCATGATGCTCTTCTATACCCCACGCATGTGGTAAGTCATCTTGGCAGTGCCATTTTGTCACTGACTAGAAGCCTGGAACCATAAAATACCACAAAACCCCCAAAATAGATGGTGCCTGATAAGTTTCTCATTTCACTGACACACCGCAGAATGTCATCATTCTTTTTCACATTCCTGGATTAAGCTGTTTCCTTTTTGGAGCCTTTAAGCACATATGGTAGAGGAAAAAAAAAATTTCAAAGAAACCCATAACCATGTTAAGTCCCACTCAAAGTGTGATGTTTTAGCAGATGGTGGCTCATTAATTGCCATACCTAACTGTATTTCCCACCTTATCTGTATGTATGGATACTGGATTTTGAAGTTGGGGCCTAATTCAGGCCATGTTTGACAACCAGGGCAGAATTGGATATAACTAAGATAGCCAATGTCTCTGATTCACAGCTGCTTGTACTGCTGCCCAGATGAACGAAAAAGCCAGTCTTTCTAGGTGTCTCCCGCTTGTCTTACACTCAAAGCTTCTCTCTCTACTGTTCGATTCAAAGGCATAAGGATCTGGGAAATGCACAAGGGCCCTGGGGTCTCCACCACCTATAAATCCCAGATCCACTACTCTCTACCTTTGCACCCTTAGCCAGCTGCCTAACCTCCCAAACCACCCAAGTTCTGAAAAACGGGGATATCAACATTGACTTCACAGGATTCATGATTCATGATTATCACATGCTAAATACATTCCTACCACTCCCTTCTCCTCCCTATTGCATCCATGTAAACACATACCCATGCTTCAGAAAATCTATAGGTCTGTCATATTAAGAGCATATAATTTAAATGTCTAAATAACTTATTATTGATATAAGTTTTTCCATGTTACAAATAGTGTGCAAATAAGAGATTGAATCTATTATTGTCATTTTTTTCACTTAACATTATTGAGCACCCATGGGCCAGGGAGGGAGTATTCCAGGCAGAGGGAGCAGCCAGTGCAAAGGTCCTGAGACATGGAAGAGTTTTTTATGGCCAAGGAACTGAAAGGAGACCACGGTGGCTAGAAAGCAGTACAAGAGGAGGGGAATGGCATGCAATGAAGTTGCAGAGTTAGGCAACACCAGATCATGCATAGCCTTGAAGTCCATACTGTGGAGTTTGGACTTCAGTCAAAAGAAAACCTTTGAATAATTTTAAGCAGGGGAGGGGCATGAATTGATTCATGTTTTTAAATGTCACTCAGACAGCTATGTGAAAAATGAATTGGGGTTGGGGGTGGCAAGTAGTAAGGCAGGGAAACCAGTCAGGAAGCTATTGCAGACAAGGGCTGTTACTAACTTGAACCAAGGAGGCAGCAGTAGAAACAGAGAGAAGTGGGTGGAGTTCAAACTCACAGAATTACTGTCAGTGCAAATGAGGGAAAGGAGAAATCAAGAGCCATGCTGCCTTTCTGGCTGGAGTGTTTAAGTGGTGGTGCCATGTACTGAGAGGAGAAGACTAGGAAAGAATCACACTTGGCGGAGAGAAGTAAAAAAATTGTTTTGGACATGTTAAGTTTGAGATGTCATTTAGGAATCTCAGTTGGAAAGGCAGA